ACTTTTTGGTTGATCAGAAAGTCAACAGTTTGAGAAGAACATTATTTTGATGGTGTTGAAGAAGATGAGTACTTTTTCTTCTAGAATGTGCTGAGAATTCTCGTTGAGTGACATTCATTAGGCATTATTGGCAAGCGAGAAAAATCATTTTACCTCAAAATCTGGCTGATTGTAACTTGGAGGAAAGCAAACCAAAGCGTTCCGATAAAGAAGTCCTGAAAAATCAAAACGTTTCGATAAAGCAATAAGGAAATGTAACTTCTGAATTCAGCAATGGTTATTGAGTGAGAGTGAAACAGAATCTGAGCTAGTGGCCGCGTTGGATAATCGACACCTGGGAAGTGCGCCGATCATTCGAACACCACTCCGGGGCTTGCGGCTCACTGAAGGCACTGATGCTGTTCTCCAATGCAATATCGTCGGAAGTCCGAAACCGCGGGTGTGTTTTCAATGCAAATTGGTCATAGTGAATGAATTCAGAATAAAAGTTTGATCATTTCATGGATGGTTTGAGTAGTTGAATACGATATTTTAGTTAGGCGTTGTAGTTGTTGCTAAAAAAATGAATTCAGATTGAATGGCGAAAGAACGGAATAGCAATGAGTCCGACAGGACCGCCAAGAATAGCAATGACCTACAAAGGGTCGCTTGCTGTGCTCAAAATATCGATGGTGCTACCGGAAGATAGCGGCGAGTATACGGTACTTGCGGAGAACACCTTTGGACGGGTAGGTTCCTTTCTCGAATTATTCGTGAAGTCTATTTAAACTCCATCCTATTGTTTACCACATCCTCTCGAACACCAATGATAAAAATGAGTTTTTCTCCGGGAAGCATCCCATTTCATAGCAACTCTGCCGCAGTAGATCGATTCTGAATTCTGTTCTTTCGAATACATTCAATCAGTCTGCGATGCTTTTGTTCTGTGAACAAAAGTTCAAGCAGTGATTTCATCACTTCATGCAATGTTTTCAACTGCACTCAAATCACGGAACAGCCATTTTTCCATGGTTTAAACATGAGAAAGAGTTATGAGGCAAGTGGGTTTGCAGAGCTCCTGTTAAATCTTTTCACAAGCTTATTCACCAAATTCATATGTCCTCATAGTACGAAGCTGAATAAGTTTCGTAATTGTGCAAAGCTCCATTTCATTAGTTAAGCGACTGTTGAACTTTTTTGAGATTATGCGTCAGCGATTCAGTTCCTTTAAACATATGGCCGCTCATTTATCATTTCTATTCGTTCCTTTAAATTTATATCGAACGGTGAAGAAAGCATTGCTCAAGGCAACACATTCTTTCCATGTTATGATTCAGACTGGATGAGTGGTCTCGGAATATGCCACATACACATAAATTTCATGGCAAGTTAAGTTTA